TTTGTGTAAAGTTCCTCTCACCGAAATGTTTTTGAGATGCATCCATGTTTTTGCATGTATCAACAGTTCATTCCTTTTTATTATTGAGTTATGTCCATTGTATATGAATATACGACAGGTTACTTTTCTCCATTCTGCTCTTGATGGGCATCTGTTTGTCCATCCTAATCCCTCCCCACCCATTTTTTTTAGTTTTCTTGGTAAAACTGCTATGAACATTTTTGAACAAGTCTTTTTGTGGACATATGTTTTTGTTTTTCTTGGGTGAATTCACAGGAGTGGAATTACTTGGTCTTTCAGTGAGTGCATGTTCGACTTTATAAGAAGCTGCCAGACTTTTTCCCAAAGTGGCTGTACCATTTTACATTTTCATCAGCAATGTTTAAACCTCAGTTGCTCCACATCGTCAAACTCTGATGTCGGTTGTTTTTTTAATTTTTGCAGTTCTAGTGGGTGTGTAGTGTGTCTACTGTAGCTTTAATTTGTGTTTCCCAAACTGATAAGCTCTTTAATCACTGGCTATTCTTCTATCTTCTTTATTGAAGTGTCTGTTAAAATCTTTTAAGTTTTACTATCTTGATTTCTGGAGCAGTTCTGAAGAACCAGTGTGAATATTACAAATCTCTATTCTTAAGCATTTCTAGGAAAGGAATATTTTATCTCATTTTTTTTTGCATTGCACAATTTCTAATGGTAAGAACTTAATACTGACTTCAGATTACTATCATTTAAGTCCATCTCTCTTGGTTACTCCACGTTCAGAGTTTAAACAAATATTTAGAGATAATTTGTGATGAGGTATAGACTTATTTAGGTTATGTTTGAATATGTTACAAGGATTTTAATTTGTTAAGGGATAGAAATTATTTTTTAAGGTCCCTCCTTGCCCCTAGTATTCTCAATCTGCATGAAAAGGATAAGGAGGAATGATTCACCCAAGTGCTAGTTTATTGCTATGTTTGTCCATTTTCAACCCCTTTACTAATGAGCTAAAGAACAGGACTCTTGTTTCTGGAAAGCAACATCCCACTGCTTAGGAAAAAAGGTGTGGTTGTATTTAGAATTCACTTTCTTTTCAAGGATTAAGAGCTGTATTTAAGTAGCATTGGTCCCATGCAGGAGAGAAAGAAGGTGCTGAAGTCCAGTTTATCAGAAAATGTTCCCAAAGAGTTGGTGGTAATTTGGGGGTTAAAAGGACTGGTTGCCCCCAGCTGTCTTGAGGGGCAGGTAAAGCTTGCAGACACAGGTGTCCACATGAGCCAGCTGTCCCTCATCCTGTCCAGTCAGTGGGGAGTAGGTGATTTCTTTAACTTACCCGTTGATGATCTTTCAACATGCATTAGATTTATGGATCTTCAGCAACAATTGTTGGGAGTGGGAGAGAACATATCTATTGTTGCCTAAAATGTGTGAAGGTACAATTTAAAGCAGGGGATAATTATGCAGATACACATGGAACTCCTACTGCAGGAGTCTAAGCATTAGAGTTATTTTGCAGGGCCATGTACATGAGATCGATCAGCCAGAGATTTGCTCTCTTGATTATGGATATAGACATACGTGTGTGTGGGCATAGATAGAGAGACAGAGATATCCCTCCCCACTCCACTCCTGTTTCAACTCTCAATGCATTTTTGAACAGTGAAATGCATTTCAAGCAACCATCAACAATGATATACCTTCCCCTTATGTACCATTTCATTCCCTGAGAATCAAAAGGCAAGACCACAGGCCAGATTCAAAACGATTTCAATTTATGACCTTCCTCTGGTTTCCTCCTAAATTTCTCCTTTTGAAAGTAAAGTGGAAAAAATATGACAAAAGTCCTTACTTTTCATCCTATTCTATTTTTCTATCCTAAAGAAATATGTTTTTAATACTTTTCTCCTGCTGTCCTAGATTTGTGAATACAGAGGCCCAGCACAGCATGATAGCTGAGGGCATAGTCTCTGAAGTCGGCCTCAGTTTGAATTCTCTTCTGTGCCATTTACTAGCTGTGTGATCTTAGGTAAGTTAGCCTCTCTGTGCCTCTGCTTCCTTGTTTAAAATGCAAACAATTAATATTCATAGGGTTGATGGGGCACTTAAATGAGTTAATATTTACTAAGGTACTAATAGCTATGTGTTTTAGCTATTATTATTATAAATAGAAAAGAAGAAATTCAAGAAAGAGTAGAAGTTAGGGGTTAAAAATTCAAAGCTGTTCTAATCAAGGTGCAATATGATTATTTTTAGAACTTGATAAAATGATACTAAAATTCACCTGGAAAAACAAGCATGTAAGACTAGCCAGGACAACTTTGAGATTATAGGACATACATTTCATCAGCTAGTGAAATATATTATGAAGCTATGAACACAAACATTTTGTTTCTGGGACAAGAACAAGCAGATCAGTGGGAAAAAACACAGACTCTACTAAATGACAAAATCAGCATTTCAAACAAGTGTAAAAAAAGATGGATCCTGATTTTTATTCATATTATTATTATTATTCAATAATATATAAGTTAGTCATTTGGATCCCTATCTCATTTCTTATACCAAAATAAATGCTTTATAGATCACTTCTATAAAAATTGTTGAAGTGTGACAAGTGATTTTTTAAAATGGGAAAGACCTTTTTTCAAGCATGATGCAAAAATGTGAAATCATAAAAGGGAACACTGAGGGGCCAGACTATACAAAAATTAAGAACTTCTTACTGCAAAAAAACACTACCATAAAGAGAGACAAAAACAAATATTCACTAGATGATAATGGAGGGCTGTTTCCTTAACAGATAAAGATACTGTGGTCAACAAGAAAAAGACAACCCAACGGCAAAATGAGCAAAGCATGTAAAGTCAGTTCATGCATAATGAAATGTCAGTGGATAATTAAAAAAATAATGAGCTTCTGTTTCACTCTAAGATTGACAAATATTAAAAGTTTGCCAATACCCAGAGCGGGTGAAGTGTAGATAGCAAGCACTCTCTCTCACCTTTGGCAGGTGTTCTGGTTATCTGTTGCTTCATAGCAAGCCATGCAGAGTTTAATGGTGTAAAATACTCATTTTTATCATAGATTTTGTGGACCAGGAGTTTGGAAAAGGTACCACAGGGATGGCTCCTCTCTGCTTCATGATGTCTGAAGTTGGTATAACCGAAAAAGCTGGAATGGTTGGGGATAGGCACAGGTGGGGGTGCTGAGGAACCCACTCCCAGACGGCTTCTTCACTCTCTTCCTGGGACCTGGGCTGAGATGGTGAAAGACAGTTCATCTGGGACTGTCAGCCACACTGCGTGGCCTCTTGACTGGTCTCAGGACAGCTGGGACTCCTCGCGCGGCAGCACGGGGCCCCAGGAGAAAGTGTATACAAGAACAGAGAAGCTAGAATCTGCATGGCTTTCTGACCGGGTCACAGGGCGTCACGGCCATTCTACTGACCGAGTCACGAGCTTGTCCAGACTTAAAGGGAGCAGATAGAGACCTCATTCTTCCTGTGAGGAGTGTCAAAGAATTTATGGCCATGATTTAAAAACCCCACAGTGGAAGTACAAATTACTGCCACATCTGTGGAGGGTAATTTTGTAATATCTACCAACATTTAATTTGCAACTAGCTTTTGAATCAAAAGTGTTCCACATGGACATTCCCTTGGTTTCAATTTTCTACTATCCCCCCTCCACCCTCCCACCGCCCTTAACCTTTCCCCTATCTGGTTTCTGTTACCACCATTGCTACCCCTTCGCTTCCTAGATCTAGAAACTTCTCTGCAGAAGAGTAAGTTCTCATCTCCAGAATCCTTCTTAGGTAAGTTCTGCAACCTCACGTTTACTTCTTGTCGTTTGCTTCCTCTGTAACTATGCTGGTTCCATTATAGGGTAGCAGCTACGAGAAGTGGGTGACTTTGCCCCATGGGTGGCTCCACCCGAGTAGGGCTCCATTCTGGGCTGCTGAAATGCCAACCCAGCTCCAAAGCTCAAGGTTTTATTTCCCACCTCCTCTACAGAGAGATTCATATTCTTCCTCCTGACTTAACTTAGAACCTACTTCTTCCAATTCTATGCTTATCACAGTACGCTGTTTGTTAGTTGTCTACTGCCATGTAAAAAATAACTCCGAAACCTAGTGGTTTTAGAACTGTAACATTTACCATCTCACACTTTCTATGGGGCAAGATCTAGGCATGGCTTAGCTGGGTCCTCTGGCTCTGGGTTCTCACAATGCTGCAGTCATTTGGCGGACTGACTGGGAGGGAGGCCCCCCACCTCTGAGCTCACAACTGTGATGGTTGCAGGATCATGCCTCAATGGCTGTTGGACTGAGGCCCCATCTCACCAGCTCCCTCTGTTCCTTGATCATGGTGCTCCTTGGACATCTCCCACCAGCTTGCCTCATCCAAGAGGGTGAGAAGGCAAGAGAGAGTGCTAGCAAGATGGAGGTAACATTACCTCAAGCTTCCATATTCTATCCATTAGCCTCGAGTCACCCACTAGGTCCAGCCCTCTCTCAAGGTGACCGTGAATTTCAGGAGGCACACCAGAGCTGCCCACCAAAGTGCTATGAGCAAGTCCCCTCTCCCTGCCCTGGGTTTTAGTAAAGGTCCTCATGTTACCTACCATCAGTGTGTGTTCCCTGAACCCAGAGACTGCTCTGCCCCAGAGAGGGGTGGTGATGGCTTTTGGGGGTGGCGGGGGTGGTAACTGTGGATAAGAGGTTTCATTTCACTGTGACATGTGACCGCTTTAACATAAAAGATTTACACACACATTTTGTAGAAGCTTAGAAAAATTTCTGTAAGTCTGTAAAAGCTGTTGGGAAAATGACCTCTGAGAAGTGGCAGCGGGGCTGCAGGAGAGGCGTCGTGAGCTTTGCTTACTACCCTTCTGTCCTGCTCGATTATTAATTTACGACGTGCGCACATTACTGTAATAAAAAGCAGTTAAAATTAATAAAAGGAGGAGTTAAGAACAGGATAACCACTTAATTCAGAAAGATTTAATACCCCCATGAGTGTCATAAGAAAGGGACCTAGGGAATTACACATTTTTATGGTCTGAAAATGAGGCATAAATGACAGAAACACCTCAGGTTTTCAGGAGTTGGTCAACCAGGTGGCAGATTTTCCAGGCCAGGAACCCCTGGCTTTTCAGGCAGAGGAATTTTAGAAGTGCTTTCAGTGAGATTAACTACACAGAACAGAATGTTCAGGAGAGCTGGAAGGCAGCTGGGGGTTTCCCAGGCTCCTGCAGCTGGAGCCCTTAAGCCTGTCCTTTTCTCCCTTCTCCTGTATTTACTCTTACTCTCTCAGATTGCCTTTTTAAAAGTCATCTTCCCTCAAAAATGCTGACAGTATTAAGATAATAAAACAGTGGCAAATGTTAGATTATGATCGTACATATGCTAAGAGCAGAACAACACAAACCTTATTGTAGACATAGTAAGAAGATGAAAGAAACAATGTTGCAAGTGGAAAATGTTTGTCTCCCAAAGAGGGCCAGTGAAGAAATGTCACTTTCCCAATTGTCTGTGAGTTCTACAATTGTTTGGTTTTAGTTGTATGGCCTGGCACAGCACCTTGCTTGCTACCCAGTGTAGTCTCTGGACTATCAATAAACATGGCACCGTGAGCTTATTAGAATGATAGCATGGCCAGTTTAGGCCAGAACCTGTGGCTTAACAAGATCGCCAGGTGATTCAGATATACTTGAAAGTTTAAAAAGCGCTGTCTATGGCTATAGATCTCAAACCTGGCTATGCATTGGCATCAACTAGAGAATTTAAAAGATACCAATGCCTGGATCCCAACCGCAGGAATCCTCATAAAACTGGTTGGCATCAAGTCTGGGGTTCAGGTTTTTAAATCTTAGGTGATTGTATGACTGACCAGTACTCTAATTCAGTGGTTCTCAAAGTGTGGGCCCAGCACTCTCTTGGAACCTGTTAGAAATACAAATTCCCAATCTCACTCCGACCCACTGAATCAGGGCATTTGGGGATGGGTCTGACATCTACTTGGATTAATCCTCCCAGGGACTCTGATGCATGCAAAAGTTGGAGAACCTAATAAAGTAGGCCTGGGGTGGGGCCCAGGAATTTATGTTTCCTGAAGTTTTCAGGTCTGCCACTGCAGGTCTGAGAACCAACTTACATCAGAGGTTTTGGGCCAGTAATTCTCTGTGATTTGCCAAACAGCTGGTTAGAAGAGAGGCCAGGATCTGGCCCACTGTTTCTCCTCTCCAACCAACAGCTACACACCTGCTGTTTCTTCTTAGGTCTGAGGCCTATATGGCCGTCTCTTCTTCCACCTTCCCACATAGGCCAGCATTAAAAAAATACAGCTCAGTACCTTATACCCAAAATCTTGCCGCTCCGTTGAAGCAGCTGCTCACATTGGCTAGGCACAGGTACCCCTGAACTTGTAATGCACCCTGTTCTTGTTTCAACCCACTTCCACAAGGGGTCTCTGACCCTCTGAATTCAACTGTGGCTTCTGTGAAACTTGCCCTCCTGGCGTGAGATCACTGAATTCCTCTAAGACGCAAGATGACCAGGGTTCTGGAGTCAGGGGCCTCCAGAGGCTTGTACCCCACGGCCTCACGATCTAGCATTTCTAACCTGCTGCTGCTCCTCAGCGAGGACAAGAAAGGGCGAGAACTGGGGCTCAGGAAGGGGGGATGGAAATGGTAAAGTGGATGATCCCAGGTGGAGGACAGGTACAGTGACTGTCACCCCCGCTTGGGTCCCTGCCTCCGCCATCGAATTCCGGAAACCCCCAAAAGCTAGGAATATGCGGACCATCTCCTAACCCATCCCACTCCTTTCCTCCCCACGGGGCATTGCTCCTGTCCCCGGACTGGGGCGAACTGGGGTGGCAACTGTACTGGGATTCACGGGGTGGAGGACGCTGGGCCCTGGAGATGGAGGTGGCAACTGCCCCGCGGGAGTAAGTCCCTCGCAGCCCAGGGGAGTGCCGGAAGCCCGCTCTTGCAGCCCGGGAGGGGGAGGGTGCCCGTCTGTCTCTGCCAAGCCGCGCGACAACGCAGAGTCCTAGGTGGGAACACAGGTGGGGCACCCTTTTGCATTTCCTCAACAAGCGACTTGCCAAGTCTGCGCCACTGATCGACCCCCGCGTGCTCCTGGTTTAGCCGGTGCGCGGGTCTACCGCTCTCCTCGTCGCTTTCAGCCGCTGCAGGATTGGCGTGTCCCTGGTGGCGCAGCGCACTCCCCAGCGCTTCCTGCGCTCCGTTTGGTGGCGCAGCACGGAGGGATCGGCTCCGGGCCAAGGACCGAGTAAGGTACAGGTGGACGGTGGGCTCGCCCGGATCGGGGAGGCGCGCTCGCGGGGGGGCTGCCCTCTGCGTACCTGCCCCCGGGCGGGGTGGGGCGGGGCGCGCCGGCGCGCAGGTCGCGGGCCCGGACGCTGGAGGGGGCTGTGGCTCTCCTGCTGTCCCCGCGGCTCGGGCTGCGCGGCGCCGGGCTCCCCCCGCCGAGGGGCCGGTTCAGGCCCGGGGAGGGGCGCGACCGCCTTCACTTCCCGCGGGCGGGCCTCGGAGGCGGCGGCTCCAGCGAGGGCGCAGGGCTGCGGGCGCTCGGCCGGGGCGCGGGGCGGGGACGCGGCCGCCCTCCGCTCTGCGCCGCTCCTCCCTGCGCGAGCCGCGCTCGGCCCGGCGTCGAGGCGGCCATGGCGACCCTGAGCCCGCTCCCCACCCACCCCGCCTGCTCCGCCCTCCCCTCCGCCCCGCGCCACCTCTGATGGCTCGGACCTCGGCCGGCCACCGCCAGCCCCGCTCGCGCTCCCGCGCCGCCGCCGCCTGCGGGTATTAATAGCCGAGCGCCCCTCGCCGCACGCGCAGCCCGGAGCCGCCGCGCCCTCCGCAGCCGGGGCCCGAGCCGCCGAGCCCGGAGGCCGGGAGTGGAAGCCGGAGCCGTGGGCGCCGTGGAGGTAGGAGGCGCGCGGTGAACAATGACCGCGGCGGGCGGGCGGGCGGCAACTTGTGCGAGTCGGAGCGCCGAGCCGACCGCCCGGGGGCGCGGCTCGCGGGGTCCTGCCCGCGGGAGGCGGGGGAGCAGGCTTCCCCTAAAAGGCGGGGGAGTCGCCGCCGGACCCGGGGCAGTTCCGGCAACAATGGCAGGACTGGGGGGGCCTCGGGGCTCCGCGCGCTCTGCACCCTCGGTCCCCTCTGCGCACTCGGGCTGCGGGATTCCGCTCGCCGTCCCCACCTCGCGGCGCCCTTCCCCCCGCTCCCTCCCATCCCACCCGGCCCGGTGACAGCGCCGGACCTTCCGGACCTCTGGCCGCAATCTCGGCCCCGGAGGCGGGTCGCGGACCGGGGACGTGGCCGCCGGCGCGGGCGCCGCAGCGCAGCCGGGTGCCTGGGGCTCGCCCACGCGACGCGAGACCCCAGTGGGTGACAAAGAAGAACACACCCTCTGCTTAAGTTAGATTTGTCTCTATCGACAGTCCTTATAGAAAGCAAAGTTTTTTTTTTTTTCTTTTCTTTTAAAGCAAGGGACACAGATTTTTGTGGTGAGCATTTCAAAACAACTCCTGATTGTGGTTTTACGATTTAAGTTCCGGAAACTTTAGCTGTGTGATCTGGCCAGACCCTTGGGGGTGGGGTGGGGTGGGGTGGGGAGGGGAGAGACTGTGTTATACGAGACGGGGGATAAACAGGAGTTGCCGGAACCAGTCTGAATTTTGTTCCTGGCAGTTGGAGCCCTGTTGCCCTTGGGGTCTGTGCAGGAGCCCAGCGAAAAGGGAACGGTGAGGCTCACAAAGCAACGAGGGCCCTGGTAGCAGATCAGCTTCTTGAGACGTGGAGAGATCGTCTCCCATCTGGAACAGTTTAGCGGGCTCAGCCTGGCTCTGAGCCTTATGGAGTACCATGGTGGCCTCTGGCTGTTTCATTTTATTGTCGTTGTTAATGCCTTTCTTGTTAGTTCCCCAGGTTTGACTTGCTCAGCCCGGCCCTCTCCTGTTTCCCAGTTCCCCGGAGCAAAGGCTTTTGTGGCCCCACCAGCAGTGTCCTGGGAGGGCAAACCCAGCCTAGCCTAGCCTAGCCTAGCCTAGCCTAGCCTAGCCTAGCCTTGGGTTATGTTTAAGGTGCTTTGCACGTGGTGACGCGCCAAGCCCATTTCAGTACATCCTCCAGCATTGTCTTGCATTTCTTATTCAGTCTAAACAAGAGAGGAAGAAGAAAGGCCTTTTGGGTCCTGAGAGCTTTTCGGGGAGCTGCCTTAAAAATTGTCCCCATTGTTCGGATCAGGCGGGCCCTTCCAAAGGCTCCCATCTTTGGCCTTCCTCATTCCACAGCCATCTGGCTGGAGGTTTACCCTCCACCCTTCCAGAGGGGTCTTCTGGGTATGACAGTTTCTGACCATGTGCTTCACATGTGGGGTCAGTATCCACATGCTCACTTTATATTCCTGCAGCATCGTTCTGCAGCAAGGCACCAGTGTTGGAGTTATACCAGGCACAAAAAAACATTTGTGTTTTTAGAATGTCTGGCTAATAGATCTGCTTCTGGGTAAAATAAAGACATGTAATTGGCCAGTGGCTGGCTTACTGGGCGAAGTGTATTGGTCAAGACAGTGAATTGATGTCTTCCTAGCCCAGTGCTTTCCACAATCTCATGTTTCTTACAGGTGGGCCAGAAACTTCACATAACTTGGTGATGATGTAGCTCTGCCCCATAGGGTCACAGATTCTGTAGCTCGCCGCCCTGAGCTGGGGTGTGGTTTTTTTCATTTAAGGAGCTCTGTCCTGGGGGGTGTAACTGGAGTTAGATTTCCAGTGCCCCTTTTCACATTGATAGTCTCTACCTGGAATTTATACAGTGATTTAATTCCTGTGTCGTAATAGAATTCTAATGCTGCTCTGTAACCAAATTTACCAAAAGGAGGTTTTAAAATCTGGACAATTTTCTTCTAGTGTATTGCAATTATTTCATGATTATCTTGAGAATACAAGGAACCTGGGTGAATGTTTTTGCTTTGCTTTCCACAAAAGAAACTGTACAAGGAAATGGTCTTTAGAAAGATAAGAATTAAAGGCCATATCAAAAGGGTTAGTTTTTTAAAAGGTGATATTCATCCTCTAATATTCATTGACCATAGATGAGTTTAATTCATTTGAAAAAGGGTATATACTTTATAATGAGGGTGCCTGTGATAAAAAAAGAAACCCTTTTGCATCCTAGAGGAGGTTAGAGAACACTGGAGAAAAAGCAGGAGCCTGGTTTTTGCGTGGTGAACACTCGTTGGGAAGGATGTCATTGTGACTTTCCCAGAGGATGGGGAAGAAGTTTTATGGAGTTGCAGGGACTTGGCTAATGATTTGATAGCATGGTGAATGGGGCATTTTCAACAAGCTCCTTTGCCTTGCTTTTTGCAGAGAACTGCCTAGTACTTTTTGAGAAATGCACTCTCCCCTCTCACTGAAGGTGCTGCAGATGAGAGAGAGGCCCATGTGCCCCCCTAGTGACAGTTGCTCCAGTCCTTCCTCTTTGGATGCCCAGCTACTCCAGGTGTTGGTTTCCAGTGCCTGGTGGTGGGAGAGGGCACGCTCTTAGGGCCTGCGGCCGCTGCTTTCTTTATTGTTTGTGGCTTTGGATTGCAAGGATGGCTCTCAACTTATTTCTCTTGCTTTTTAATGGTTAGAGTGAGTTTCTGCTGCGCTCTCATCTCCTCAGAGTCCAAGGGCCCTCTGTTTCTGCCCAGTTACTGCCTTAACTACTTCCACCTGTTGGGGAAGATCAGCGCCCCTATGGTTTTCATTCAAATTACCTGAAACATGGATTTTGGCAGTCTTTATATGCCAAATGCAGCCTTTGTTTTTAATCAGGAAGCCACCACAAAATGTTTTTAAGTGGAGAAACAGGATTTTTATAGGCTGCCCTTGTCCTGATTTTAGTCAATTAAAAACGTTTTGCTAAGTGGATACTTTGAGCAAAAGTGAGCAATTGATACATATTAAATATGGTGCTCTAAGCTTTTCATACATGTGAAATAAGCCAGGGGCCATCAGTGTGACTAAAGGTACAATGTGACTAAAACCCAGTATATGCTCTGTGCTGCCTTTGATCTCAACTCAGAAGGGCAGTGTTCTTATTTTAATGTGGGATGGAAATGAGACAAACTTGCAAGATTGGCAATTAAATTAACTAGGGAGTTCTCTGGATTCATTTCATATGCAAAACTGTCATATTTGTGCATACATTTTCAAACAAAAGAGCCACAGGCCAAACTAGATTACCTTTAACTCTCTATTATGATAATATTCCTTACCTAGAGAGTACCCACCCCGTGTGTAGACTTCTGGTTTCCCACAGAGGTCTTCTAGAAGGGCAGGGTTGTAAATCCAGATAATGATGACTTTCATTTTTTTTTTTTCCGTCTTCAAGATCTGGTATGGTGCCTGGCACATAGCAAACCTTTGACAAATACTTGCTGAGTGACTAAGTAAACCTACTGTTTGATGTCCGTTCAAGTTAGCCTTTAAGGTTTTTAAGCGAAATTTGGTTTTAGCACTGGTAGGTGGTTGTTTTGGGAATTTGATATTTGATTTTGTTTCTGTTTTGTTCTAATTTAACAGTTTAACCTTTAAAGCTGGGTAATATTGTGAGAAGACACAGGCTCACTGGAAAAATCAGACAATAAAAGCATGAAGAAGAAACTAAAACTTGCCTGATAAACTAGCTGGGATAATTTTCCTTTTTCCTGAGGTGTTTTTCAGAAGACACATAGCAAACCTTTGACAAATACTTGCTGAGTGACTAAGTAAACCTACTGTTTGATGTCCGTTCAAGTTAGCCTTTAAGGTTTTTAAGCGAAATTTGGTTTTAGCACTGGTAGGTGGTTGTTTTGGGAATTTGATATTTGATTTTGTTTCTGTTTTGTTCTAATTTAACAGTTTAACCTTTAAAGCTGGGTAATATTGTGAGAAGACACAGGCTCACTGGAAAAATCAGACAATAAAAGCATGAAGAAGAAACTAAAACTTGCCTGATAAACTAGCTGGGATAATTTTCCTTTTTCCTGAGGTGTTTTTCAGAAGTTCCATTAGTGAGCATCTGTTGGTGGTAACCTAAGTTTTTATTTGCCTTTAATTATCTTTGTTGTGGAATGACAAATTACCTGAATGTGCAATTGGGGATGATGTTCCTGCATTAATCCATGGTCTTTGTGGTTGCGCCGTAGCTGTAGAGTCAGCTGTAAGGCTCCTTGTTGTCTGTAAATAGTCTGGTCTGTTCTCTCCGGCTGCTCTTAGACCCTTTTGAGGTCTGCAGTTTCACTC